TATTTTGTATTTTTAAAAAAATCTTGCAAATCCTCCGACCAGGCAAATACATAGCTTTATGGTAACCAGTTCCAGCGAGAATGGATACTAGGGAGGTTTTTTTTTTTATTTAAAAAAGGACTCCATGAAGTCCTCACTTAATGTTGAAGACTGGCCGAAGGGGCCTCAATATGTGCCATCCTATTTAAATGTGAATTTCTAGAAGTAATATCAGAATTTATGATATTTCTTTTTCATCAAGAAGGATGCTAGAATTTTAGGTCATTTCTGTCCATTTTCCCCATCAAATCATTTCACAGAGACCCTTTTGATGTTTGATTATCTTGAACTCTTTCAGCATGCTTTTTTTAAAAAAAAACAACAAAACAAAACATTGAAAAATGTTTTGTTCTCATTATTGTTCCCATTCCTTCCTGATCCTTCCTGCTTACTCCTTCCTGATCCTTTCATTCATAAAGGGAGTGCTGTTGGTCTCATAGGTAAGGAATCATTCTTCTCAAAGATGGTAGTTTGAATCTACCAGCTGCTGCTCTGTGAGAAAATGATGAGTATTCTCTCTGGTGTGATTGCCAGCCTCTGAAATCCCAATGAGTCAATTTGAACTCAATGGCTGTGAGTCAGTCGATCTTATTCATAAACAACGTCCTGTGATTGTCGCTAAGGTGAGCATCCCCCACTTCACCAACCTAAAAAGTGTACACAGTTTACACAGTATACCCCAAACTGTGGCATACTTCCCCTGAATTGCTCTCTGCAACCCATTTTAGATTCTCAGGAGTGAGGGTTAAAGCAAGAATTATATAGGAAGCCCATTAGCAAGAGAAGCAATTTTATGAGAGGTCCAACATCCTGTTAGAGATCCGGCATATTTCATTGCCATTCTTTAAAATCCATTGTGTTTCCTTCAAGCTAAGTTCTTCCACATTAACCAGGGCTCTGTTGACACAGCTGAGAACAGGCCTTGTTTCTTTTTAATGGGTGTGTACTTAGATTGTCCATAACCGTATATCTTCAACGATGGGGCATGTGTCTGTCCTGGTTATTTAGTGCTCTTGTAATACATGTTTCACTTTAACAAATCCATTGTATTATAGTTTAGGAGTCTGGAGTTTCAAAGTAAGGCCTCTAGTTTTCTCTGGATGAAAGGTCTTGTCTTGTTTAGCCATCTGTTGGCCCAGCCTTCCCTGGAAATGTCCATGTTTCTTAGCATCAATCTTCATCTAGCTCTAGGAGGTTTTCCAGACAAGGACCATATGTCCAAATCATGCACTCTACTCCCTCTGTTTTCCTTGGTACCTCTTCTTTTATCTTTTTTAAGATACAAGGTATTACAAGACGTAACCCAGGGAATTTTTTTTTTTCAAACATAACAGGGATGTCTGTGATTGCAGCAAGGATATTGCCTCACATTCCATCATGCCTTATTAACATAGTAAATGTTGTTGATGTTGCTTTTGTTATTATGTACCACATAGTTGTTCTCTGCCGTAGAGTCACCTACAACTTACAGCAACCCCATGCACAATAGCTCTGAACCCTGCTTTATCCTGAGCAAATATCTTGATCTCTGACAAACCTATCCCCACTGCCCCAGTTACTGTGTCAGTCCATTTCTTCTAGGGTCTTCCCCTCTTGAACTTTCACTCTCCCCTTCCAAGCATGATGTCTTATCTAAGGTCTGGTCCTTTCTGGTAAAGTATGTCAGATGAAACTTCTAAATGCTTGCTTTCATGGAGCAACTTGGTTTCATTCCTTCCAAAACTAACCTATTTGTTGTCTTAGCAGACCATAGGATATATGTTCAATACTCTTTCTCCAGCATCACAACTCAAAGTCATCGGTTCTTCTATCATCACTAGTCATTGTTCATTTTTCTGATGCATAACAAATAATTCGGAAAATCACGGCTTGGATCAGGCACCCCTTAGTCTGTAGAGTGACATCGATGATCTTTAAATTTTTCCTCTTTTGATTTCCTGACTGTTAGTGCCAAAAGTGTTGATTGTGGAAATGAGCAAGTGGAAATTGTTAATTAACATCCTCAAATTCTTCTTTCTATCTTGGTGCTTCCACTTGGCCCAAGTGATGAGAATCTTTTTTTTTTTTTTTTTTATGTTGAGCTTCTATCCTTCTTGAAGACTGTAGTGCATGACCTTCTGCAGGAAATGCTTCAGGTCCACTTCAGTTTTGGCTTGCAAGCTTGTGTCTCTTGTGTTTCTTGCATCATGTAGGTTGTTGATGAATAACTTGACCCTACACAAAATGTCCTTTTAGCAACATTCAAAGTAATTAATTGGTACAATTTCCAAAGTGGCAGAGGTATTGAAGCAAAAAACAAAACAAAACAAAAGAAAAGGAAAAGAAAACACACACCCACAAAAAAGGCAAATTGTGACAAAAGTATGCATTAATTTTCTGGACAGTATCCTTCCTCAAATTAAATGACACTGTATAAAAATTTGCTGGAAAAATATTACAAAACTGAACCCTGTACATTCACACTTGAGTCCAAACCATTCTGCACGTGGCGGGACCCCGCAGTTTGGTTACCCTTCCCGCTCACGGCTTTCTCCTCTTGAGGGTCAGGATTGGAGTCTGTGTCATTTGAGTGGTGTGTGAGAGAGTTTTCACTCCCCGTAGGAGAGTCTACACTTTCATACCCCGCACTGAGTTGGTTTATGTAACTACTACCTCCTCTGCTAGTTCTCTCTTCAGCCTTATTCCCATTCCGTGGAGAAGGAGGAGAGTCATCTTCAGCTGTGTTCCCCTCCCTATGAAATCCAGACCCAGACGTCCTCTGATGGGAGGAGCTGCCGTTACTTCATCTGTTAGCCAGGCGACTGCAGTCTTTCCCCGTGGCCTCTGCCTGTTCCACAGGCTCAGAAGCTGTAGTCCTGCTGGTACTGGGGGTGGAGGCTTGAGACTGCTGCTGTTGGTACTGAGCCAGCTGCTGACGTGTCTCTTTGAGTTGTTGCTGAAGAACCAGAATGGTACTCTGCATGCCCTCCACTTCCTCGTCTAGTTGGATGATGACGTCATTCAGCTCATCCTGACTGCTTTTAAGCTCCTCACTATATTTCTGCTGTAAAGCGAACTCAGCTTCAAGTTGTGCAATACGTCCCAGGGACAGCTGCCTTCCAAGCTCTTGGTTCTCCTGGATAAGCATTCGACACTTCGCCATTAATTTTTTGCCTGTTTGGCTTATTCAAGTTTTGACCCAGAAGTTCAACAATAGTCATCAAGTCTACAGTCTTATTGGCAAAGCTAATATACAATGTCTCTAAGTCACTATGCTCCACGTTAAAGAGCGATGCATATTCCATTTTAGCTTTTATTGGGATTTTACATGTTCAGTTCAGGTTTAAAATGTCTAGGTTTTCATTCCTCCAAACTGTCTGATGACACAGTGTGCTTCACTGTGTCTTAAGAAGACTTAAGACTTCTGTTTCTCCCTCTATTTTCTTCACACAGAAACTTTTCTCAAGTGTCTAAGATTCCTAGAAGGGGAATGTCTCAGAGGTAGCCCCTTCTTCGGAATAGTCCTATGCCATCAGGCCTCAGAAGCAAGGGGAAGGGGAAGAGAAAAAACCTGAAACACAAGGTTCATCTGTTAAGTTTTACATTAACCAATGCAAGCTGGACAGTTAAGAATGTGGCTTTTTTGTCTCAAAAAGTCTGAGTCTTGGTGTGGAAACGAGTACGTGGCTTTCCCACCAGTTTTCTCGCGGTGGGACTGTCAGGGAAGTCTTGCCTGGGGAGTATGATTTGTTTACCTATCAGGCGTAAACTTCCAGGCACTCAGTTCATTTTGGGCTTGTTCCAGTTTGTCTTTAGTCTGTTGCAGTTCCCCTTTCATTTTTACGAAAAACAAGTTGATTGCTGGGTCTACCATTGTTGATCTCAGTTGGGCAACGCTCTGCTGCTGGACTTGCTTGAGGTACTGGATCTGAGTAGTACACTCTTGCATCTCTTGTTCCTTGGTTGCTAGTCTCATTACAAGGATGTTTTCTCTGCGTGCAGACTCTTGCTGTTGCTGCTTCAGTTTTTCTTCAGATTCCCTTAAGCCAGTTACATCATTAGAATTAAGATCTGTGTACTTGCCCTCCAAAGCTTGGACATATGCTTCGTACTGCTTCCATCTTAGAATTAACTCATCTCGAGCCATAACTTTGAAGTCTGTTTCACTCAAGCGAACCTTTTTGGGAAGAGGTTCTTCGTTGGTCATCTTGAACAACGGGCCGCCATGGGGGCACCGCGGCGCCGCCTGCCCGTCTGCCCGCGCGGGAGGAGAGGCGAGCAGCGGCCCGCGCGTTTCCCGAGCCCCTAGGCGCCCGACGTCCGGAGGGCGAGTCCTGTAATTTTTGAGGGAGGACTCTTAATCCCAAATCCAGTTGGGCAATGTCCTACTAAGGCTTATTCCCTTTTTTCTAGATTGCCATCCATAGTTCGAGGAGGGCCAATCGATAGATACTGGCCCACTGCCGATGGGCGCCTGGTGGAGTATGATATCGATGAGGTAGTGTATGATGAAGATTCACCTTATCAGAACATTAAGATTCTTCACTCGAAGCAATTTGGAAATATTCTCATCCTCAGTGGGGATGTCAGTGAGTATCCTATCTCTGCCTCATCCATGGAACGGTAGTAGTGATGTTTAAGGTCTTTTCCTTATTAATGGTGCCATTAAAATTTGCCCAAGTATGTCTTTGGCCATGTTGTTTTATAAAGATGTGCATTTATTTATTACTGTTTCAAAAAAAAACAAACAAACAAACCAAAGAAATGTAATGCAATATTTACCAATGCAGATTTTTAGGTGCATAATATAGAAGGTGCACATTTATATTGTATTAACCTGTGTGGCATGTGGACTCAGCAACTTTTTTTAAATTTAATTTTATTATTATTTTTTGTGTGTACTGTCAAATTGGATCTGACTGGTACAGGAGGAGATTGCCCCTCCTTTTTGTGTGTGTATGTAAATTTATTTTTAATTTCCATTCATTCATTGTTGCACTTTTCTCAGCTCTCCCCCCAGTACACTACCCTCTTGGAAAAGAGAAAGAAAAATTCTTTCATTGTTTTACAATCCCTCCCCTCAGGTCCGCTCCACTATGCAGCCTTCGCTCTGGACTCCTGTCATGACAAAAATACCTAATCACATCACTCTTCTTTTAAACAGTTTTCTCCCTCATCTGTTTCAATGCAGTAGACATTATTGAGCACACCTTTCTCAGTCCGTCCCCGACCCCAAGGTCAGTCCTGTATTACAAGAGTGGCAACATGGAGTATTTGTCCTTTTGTGACTGATATACTTCACTCAGCATAATGTCCTCCAGAATCACCTATTTTGAATAATATTGCATTCGTTCCTTGTTTTTCAATGCAGCGTAGTATTCCATTGTGTGAATATACCACAGCTTCTCTATCCATTCATTGTTGATGGGCACTTGGGTTGCTTCCAACTCCTTGCTATTGTGAACAAAGCTGCAGTAAACATAAGTGCATATATCTGCTTGGATGTCAGTTATGATCTCTTTGGGGTATACTCCCAGTAGTGGAATTTCTGGGTCAAATGGTATCTCTATTTGCAACTTTTTGAGAAAGCGCCATACCACCTTCCACAGGGGTGGCACCATTTTACACTTCCACCAACGGTGAATAAGGATTCTAGGTTCTCCACAACCTCGCCAACCTTTGTTACTTGTTGTTCTGTTAAATTTTGCTATTCTGAGTGGGTTGAGATGATATCTCATAGTTTTAAGTTGCATCTCCCTTAGAGTTAGGGATTTTCAACATTTCTTCATGTGCTTGTTAGCCATCTCAATGTCGTCTTTGGTGAAGTGCCCCTCCTTTAGCAGAGCATCTGGTGGATTCTAACTGCATACCTCTGCGATTGCAATGCAACTTCTTGCCACTAGTCTACTACTTGCTCCCTGGAGATCTGTAGTTTTCGTCTTTTTTATCAGGGGAAACTTCAAACAGATGTAAATAAGATGATATAATAATCTATATAAACTTCCAATTAAAAAATGGCCAAAATTATCCAAATTCAACATGAAGCATCTTCCAGTCTCAACAACTATCCTGCCTTATTTCAAAGAAACTCTAGTCTAATTTTCCCCTCATACTAGTATTTTAATTCTTTTTTATGTTCATAGAATCATTTCTAGAATTTCCTGATGTACGATATATGGACATTGGTTTACGTTCTCTGAGTTGTGCTACCATTTCTCAACGTCCTTTTTACCAAATCTCTCCTTTGAGATTGCAGTTCAGATTGCCACTAGGCCACCAGAGCTCCCTGTGAAGTAACTTCTTTATGCCATGATATTTTGTATGTAGGAACAAAACAGATTTTTTAATTGTCTTTTTAAAAAAAACTTTATTATTTTTTTGTGTGTACTGTCAAATCTGATCTGACTGGTAGAGGAGGAGATTGCCCCTCCTTCTCAAGCAGAGCATCTGGGGGATTCGAACTGCAAACTTCTGGATTGGCAGTGCTGCTTCTTGCCACTAGCCCACCAGAGCTCCCTAGAAATGAAATAGGTTTTTATTATTCAGCATTTCTGAACCGTCTCAAAATTGAATTCTTCCTAAGTAATGGATATTGTTAAGGAGCCCTGGTGGCATAGTGTCTTATATGTTGGACTGCTCATCAACAAGTCAGTGGTTCCATGAAGATTTCCTGCTTCAGAAATCCAATGGAGGTTTGTTGTGGACTGGACTCAATTCAATGGCCATGGCAGGGAGGTGCCTTGGAACTCCTGTCTCACCTGTCTTTTATGTTTTCTGTTTTATCTCATTCCTGCTTGTCTGTGCCATTATTAATAATTATAAAAATACTTTGATCTGCAACAAGTGTGTATAAGGATTGATGAAGAAAACTTTATGCTTCTTCTCTTTCTAATGTGAAGAGTGAATGTGTGTGTGTGGTCTTGATCACGTTTTTGCTGTTTCTCCTAGATTTGGCCGAGAGCGATTTGGCGTATACCCAGGCCATCATGGGCAGTGGGAAAGAAGATTACACTGGCAAAGATGTACTGATTCTGGGGGGCGGAGATGGAGGCATTTTATGTGAAATAGTCAAACTGAAACCAAAGATGGTCACCATGGTCGAGATATCCTTTGTTGTGTAATAATTGAGTTAAATGTGCTTCTTGGTATTTGGTCTTCAGCCAATGGTATACAGACTCTTGGCAAATGTGTTGTTGAGATTGCCTTGAACAAATATTTGAACTTGACCTTTATATGACATCAGAGAGAAATAGAAATAATGTAGCTGAGGAGTAAAGAGCAAGATTTATTTTCACTGTCCTCAGTGGAAAATTAAAAATTTTGTCTCTTTTGTCATTTTTTTTTTAAATTGTTAACACCCAAATAAGTACGATAAAAACCTTTATATTTGTTTTCACTTTTCTCTTTAAAGTATTATTCTTTCAGAATTCTTTGGTACGTCCAAATTCATGGTAAATTTTTCATCCTTAACCCATATCAAACATTGACCAGATGGTGATTGATGGGTGTAAGAAGTTCATGCGAAAAACATGTGGTGAGGTCTTAGACAATCTTAAAGGGGAATGCTATCAGGTAATTATGTTTTGCAGGTAACTTATTTTTTAAGTGAACTAATAATACAATTGATAAGAATATTGATTGTAAAAAAAAAGAATATTGATTGTGCCTTCTTAAAATTATATTCAATGTAAATGGTTAAAAAGAGCTATGCTTCATGTCTCCCAACATGTGCTATATGTATATGTGTATTTCTTATTTTTATGTATAATCAAATTGAGTCCAACTCATGGCAACCTTACATGCAACAGAACAGATTTCCATCTGATCCTGTGCCATCCTGACAGCCCATTATTGCTGTCACTATGTTAATTCATTTCATTGAGAGTCTTTCTTTCCTTCATCCTCATTTGTTCCAAGTGTGATATCCTCCCCCAGTGACTGGCCCTCTGGATAACATGTCCAATGTGTGTGAGACAAAGTGTCATCTTCCTTTCTTCTAAGGAACTTTGTGGCTTCATTCCTTTTGAAACAGATCTTTGTCTTGATGGTTTTGGGAAGTCCATAGCTAATCAAGTACTCTGTGATCTGGTCCAGGCTCAACCCTACACCCATCCTGGGCTGTGATCCTGAGGCCATCTAGTGTTGGATTATAATTAAGAAGGTTAAACAGTCACTTGGGCAGGGACATCATGCTTGAGAAGGTGGAGGTGACTACGTGGTGACTGTGGCAGGGGACTTGAGAGTGTCTGAAATTGTGAGGATGGCACGGGATAGGATAGTGTTCAGATCTTGTTGATAGGTTTTCAAAAGCACAGAACAGCAACCACAGCACCAACAGCAGTCACTATGTCAGCCCCTGCCCATGAGGGTATCTCTGCTTTACCAATGGAGCTCTGTTGCCTTAGTCTATAGGGTTAGCACTATAGATAGTCTATAGGGTTAACCTATACCTCAAAGGTATGCCTTTCTGCTGATTGAAATCAATCCTTGACTGTATGGGAGAAAGACAGGAAATCTCATCTCTTCCTTTTATCTTATATTTGGAATCCATGAGCAGCTTCTTGGAGAAACGTATGCAAGCTTGTCATTTACAGTCTGTGTTGCCCTCTGGAGGTATAGATTGAGACTTGAGGACAATGAGCCTTTTGAGTCATTTGTATGGCATTCTTTTATGCTTTTGGAAGAGCTGTTATTAACTCTTTGATTCTTATCTTTAGAGTAATTTACCAGGAATACTGTGGTGGAGTTGTTAAGTGCTTTGCTTCCACAATGAAAGGTTGCCAATCAAAGCCATCTAGTCCATGTCACAAAGCCATGGCAATTTATAACCTTAAAGAATATAGCCAAGAAATGGCTTTGTGACAGCTCTAGGCTGTCCCTTCAGGTTGTTGGAAGTCAAAAATGACTCATTGGCAGCAGGACTTGAACTGTTAGAGAAATTAGAAAACAATTGGGTAATAGTTTAAGATATAAGATATATTGTTGGATGACCAGGAGGACCTAGGGTAGTAATGGGGGTGGGGATGGGGATGAGGGGGTTGGGGAAAGAAAATATACAATGAAAAGATATTTCAAAAAAATAAGGAAATCTCTTTGAATGAGAGGAATGATTCAGAGAATGATTCTCAGGAGTTAGACTGGAGGAGAAAATTATTATGAGGGACTGCTGTGTTTCGTGAGAAATGTTCCAGTACTATTAATTTTTTTTAAATTGTGTGAATATATTATTTTCATAAAAATGGGAAAAAAAAAAGAACCTGATGGAGAACAGTTCTAATTTTATACATGTGAGGCTGTCTTGTGTTCTTACCAAATAGTAGACGTAAGCTTTTTGCAGTGCCAGTTGTACTGACAGTTTCACGTTTGCAGTTATGTATTCCTGATTCAACATATTTTTGGAAGTGGATTATACTAACGTATGTTTATTATAGATATTTTATACAATTTCTTCCAAGAATAGAAATTGAATTTGAATGTAGAATTCCATCCTTGAACAAGGCAAAATGTACTAATTACCTAACCTAGCCGATGAAACTGGTTATAGTGATGATCACACATTAAAATCAACCCTAAGTTTCTTAGAAGCAAAAGGAAACATTTGGTTTTTTTTTTTAAACATGGTGATAAATCATGTCAGATTATTGTATTGTTGGATGAGATCTGACTGGCACTGGAGGAGATGGCCCCTCCAGGAGGGGGGGGGGCTCTAGGGGAGAATCTGTTGGATTTGAACCTCGCCCCTTCAGGATTTCAGCGCAGCTTCTTGCCAGTAGAGCTCCTGCCATCTAAAAAAAAAAAAAAAAAAGATAAAATGCAATAATCCATTGATAATGAAAGTAATTAGGTATTTATGATAAAAGGAAGCTTAAAAGTAGAGGAAAAAGTTTAATATAGAATAAAAGTATAAACTTGGTGTTTTCTTCATTTTTTTAAATGTTACTGCTTAATATTAAATGTTAACTATTCATATTTATCTTGGTATACTTCATTGCTCTATTTTTTTGTTTTCTAAAAATTTATCTTGTCATTGACAAAATGTCCAATAAAGCAAGCCATTGTACCTAAAAAAAATAATAATAATAATTTTTTTTCTTTGTTGTTGCCGAAAGAGCTGCTAAGACCTGTAGTACAGGTTGGGGGTTATACCATTGTCCCTCAGTGCAACAGCCTGGCTAATGTTGTGATTGAGTTTTCTTCTCTGTTTCTCTCCTTAACAGGACACCCTCAGCTTTGATCCCTTTTGGAGTGGGCACCATCGACTTCTGGTTTTAGGGTTATGAAGTTGAGGCATATGAGGTCCATTGGAGCTATGGATTAAATTTGATTTCCACTCGACTTTAGATGGCCACTCCCAAACGTTTTTAAATCCTAGTTACTAGTCACCAGTGTTATAGTGGAACTGTGCTATTAGAACTGTGCACCTGGAACCATCTTATATTATGCTGTATTTTATGCCCTCGAACAAATTTGTTCATAGCATTTTTTTCCACCATTTGGTCTTCGTTTATGTTTCCATTTGTATAATGAGGATAGAAGTAATGGCGGCAATGGTTGCTTTGATGGCCTTAAAAGGCATAGAAAGCTTGTGTAGAAAGAACTTAATTTTGACCGTTGTGGCCGTGAATGAAAGTGGTAGGAGTTGCAGTCCCAGCTTACATAATTCCCCTTCCTCTAGGACTATTGTTAAACTGCCTCTGCTCTTACTGGCTCACCTGTACATTTCTCTTCTTTCTGGAGGTTCTAATTGAAGACTGCATTCCTGTCCTGAAGAAATATGCCAAAGAAGGGAGAGAGTTTGATTATGTGATTAATGATTTGACTGCTGTTCCCATCTCCACATCTCCAGAGGAAGGTAGATTCTGGTTTGGCTTTTTTTGAGAAATGTTCAGGAAAATGTTCTCTTGGGATAGTGTGAAGGTGAAACCCATCAACCATCTGGTAAATTTCCTCTTTTTAGAAAATCATTTAAAAAAGCCCTGCAGTAGTTAAGATACTGGATTTGTATCTGGCTTTACATTACATGATGGAGTTCATGCAAGCAGTTGCATATTAAGTAAAGTGGTTAATAAGGACATCATTGAGACATTATATCCTGTGAGAATTTATCTGTTTGGTTTTGAACTTGTTCAAGGACAAAGGAGTGACTATTCTGAGCCACAAGACACCATTCCCTTATGAAAACTATGTCCTCTAAATCTCTGCAGGCTTGAAGTTGTTTTGCTGATGGTTTTTCTCTAAACTTGACCTCCTGCTGAGTTTGCAGAACTTGGTACAAACAGTGGCCTTTCTGTAGGCCTTCTCAGAGGGTGGTTTTTTGGACTAAGGCTTCTAGCGAATCTCGGTTAGTGTGGAGAACAGTCTTCATAAGTGGAAGCAAACTTGGTTTTGACCTTGCTTTTGTGTTCGTTCACGTCTGATACACAACAGAAACCTTGCCATTCATGAGTCACGTCTTGAACATTTTTTTAAATTATTATTATTTTTTTAATGCATAGTTTAAAGAAAGTTTATAGAGAACTTGGATTTCTATTAATTCATTGTTGTGTGTTTTTCTCCTTTACCCTCCACCCCAGTTAGCTTTTCCCTTTAAAAAGATTCTTTAATTTTTGCACAATTTCATACCTTCCCCTTGTTTTTCAGTGCTAGGTGATATTCTATTGTGTGAATATATCATATTTCTTGATGGGCATTTGCGTTGCTTCCATCTCTTTGCCATTGTGAACAATGTATTACTATTAGTATCATTATTTATTATTATTATTATTATTATTATGTATATGGTTTGTTTACAAAGTTCCTATACATTATTTTTTTCACACTGGATCTTTCTCATTTCCTTCACCCATTCAATCAGATTGTGTGATCCTATCATTAATCTGCCCCCTCCCATCCTCAGCCCTCTACTCCCCTTTACCTCCCAGCACTGAGTTTTAAGGTCATCACTATGTATTTATTTTGTTGTTGAGACTCGTGTACACAACACACCATGCACCGATTTGACAGTGTATGCAGAGTACATTACTATTTGGTGACAACAATTACAATTACATTCTTCATTTGTGTGGGTTTTGTTTTCTTACCTCTTCTGACTTCTTCTTCCCCCTTCACATGAACTCCCACTAAAGGTTTCTATTTAATCTTTCAAGCTGCTCTTGTCATTTTCCCCATGTATTGTTGTTCTGTGCCCTTGTGTTGAGTACGATTTCACAAGAACTACAGATTTGCACCTTGTCCTCTCCTCTTCCACCATCATCATCTCTTATATACAGTTGAGCTTACTGCTGCAATGTGTTACCCATTCTCCTTGAGGCTCTTCCTCTCTTTCCAAGAATTTCCCTTTGTAAGGAATAGCCTCTTCTACAAACATGCAAAACATATGAGATTGAGACTCGTGGTTCCAGCTTGTATGTAGCACACAGCTCTGGTCACATGGAGATGGCTCTAAAAAGAGTAGAGTACTGACATCTGGGCATTTCTATTATTTTTAATCTATACTAATGTGAATGTTTAGATTTAGGTGTTACATGGTATACTTGCAAACCCATGTGCATAAAACTTGTATTTTTCTTTTAATATCCAGATTCCACATGGGAATTTCTCCGACTCATTCTTGACCTGTCGATGAAAGTTTTGAAACAGGATGGCAAGTACTTCACACAGGTAGTCTACTCGACCCTTTTTCTCTCTACCACTCTTTTCTCTGTGCGTATTATCATGTGAAAAATTCCCCATAAGAATTTTTATTTTGAAATGTAGGATTTATGTCATTTAGTATATTGTTGTTGTTGATGTGTGCCATGGAGTTCGAATCATGGTGACTCTTTGAACAAACTTGACCTTATTCTGTATCATTTTCATCATCTTTGATAAACTTGAGCCCATTGTATCAGTCTGTCTCATTGACAGTATTGTTCATTTTGCTGACATTCTGTGTGTTTTATTGGTTTTTTAAAAGTTTTCTACTAGTTTATTTATCTATGTTTTCAAATATGAAGTCATTTTTCAAGGAGTGGCCCCTCCTAACAAGATGACAACATTTCCCCATAATTGCCACTAAGGAGACCCTCCTAGTCACACTTTGTCCAACATAGACTTGTTCTTTTGAAAATGCATGGTATACTGGAGACTTGTTTAAACTAAACACCACAACTCATAGGTTTGGAGACTTTTGTGCTAACTTTGTCCAACTTTGAGATACATCATAAGGGACTCAAAAAAAAAAAAAAAAGAGAAAGCTAAAGCTTGAACTTAATGTGTCTGATCTTCTTTAAACTAATATCATTACTTTGTAGTTCTTTGGAGAGGTCACTGGAGTCAGTAGGTTTTTTTTTTATTTCATGTCTATTGGTACTAAGAGGAAGTTTGACAACCATGTCCCCTTCCCCTATCTCACTTAGCCCACTCCAGGGTCTCCCATATTTCCCCACCCTCTTGTCTCCCCTCAGCTCTCTTCCTCTCCCTTTTCTCCCTGTCCTCTGTCTCCCTCTCCCCAGTATCCCCCTCTCTTGGCTCTATCTGCTCTGTCCCACTGTTTTCATCTTCCTTTCTATCTCATTCACCATCCAGGCCTATACTCTCCCTCCTCACTGTCTTCCTCTCTTCTGTTTTACTCCCCTCTACAACCTCTCTTCAGACACCCTCTCCTTTGTCTACCTACCCTCGCCCTTGTCTTTTGCTCTCCTTTTTCCTTGTTCTCTGTCCCTCTCCCTTGTCTCCCTGTCCACTATATCACTAGCATCTCCCACCTCTCTTAACTCAATCACAGCTGTTGCCTTGTCCTTTGTTACCCTCTCTTCTGAAGTCTCCTTCTCCTGTACCTCCCTCAGGCCTGTATACCTCCCCTCACCCCTGTATACCTCCCCTCACCCCTGTTCTTACCCTCTCCCATTTCTCAGGCTTATCTCCAATCACTCTTTTCTTCCTCTTCCCTCTCATCCCCCTCTTCCTGGCCTCCTTTTTCCATCTTTCACTCTTATCATCCATCTTTCCTGTTTCCATTGCCCCTTCCTCCTTTTCCCCTGTCTCCCTCTCCCACTTCTCACTGTCATCTATCTCTCCTCACTCCTCCTGTCTGTGTCTCCACTGTCTCCCTCTCTCCTGTCTTTCTCCCCTTGGTCTCTCTCTCACTGATCTGCATACCCCATCTCTTGTCTCTCCCCTGTCTCTTTGTCTTCCAGTCTCTTGTCCCTTGTCACCCTCTCTCATCTCCTCCCTCTCCCTTCTTACTCTTCTCTCCAATCTCTCAAGCTCCTTTCCCACCTCTTCATCTCTTTCTCCCTGATATTCCACTTTCCTATTATCTACCCACTGTCCTGTCTCCCTCTCATTTCTCCCCCCCTTCTCTGCCTTCCTCTCCCCTTTCTCCTTCTCATGGGGCTCTCTTTCCTCTCTCTGTCTCTCCCCTATCTCCTTTTCTCCATTCTCTCAAACTTCTGCTATCTTCCTTCATTTCCCCCATCTCACTCTCTGCTCCCATCTCTTCCTCTCCCTTGTCCATCTCCCCTGCCTTCCTCTTTTCTGTTTCCCTCTTCTCTATCTCCCTCTCCTCTGTTTCCCTCCATTCTCCTTCCCTCTAGCCTGTCTTTCTCTTGCCATCTCCCCTTACTCGGTTTCTCTTTCCTCCCTTTTGTTTTACTTGGCTGTATCACCTCGCCTCTGTTTCTTCTCCTTTGTCTGCCTCACCCCTGTCTACTGCAGTTCTGTCTCTTTGCTCTCTGTCCTGCACTCTAGTCTCCCTGCCCCATATATCACTAGCATCTGCCATCTCTCCTGACTCCCTCCTCTTTCTCCTTCTCTACTATCTCTTTTTCCTCTCTCCCTGATCTCTCCCCTCCCTTCAGTCTACTTCTCCCATCTCTCAAGCTTATCTCCTGTCTTACTCACCCCTATAACAGCTTCTCCCTTGTCTCACTCTTATATCTTGATATCCCCTATCTCTCTCTCACTGGTCTCCATTTGTGATGTGCCATTCCCATCTCTCCTGACTGCCTCACACCTGCCTACTTCTCCACTCAATTTTCACTCCTCTTTGTCCTTCTCCACTACTCCCTCTGCACTGTCTGTCTTCCATGTCTCCCTCTCCTCTGTCTCCATCGCCCCTCAGTTCATCTCTCCTGTCTCCCTCTCTGCTTTCTCCATCTCCCCTGCCTCCCTCTTTCCTGTCACCTTCCCCTCTCTTCCTCTCCATCTCTCCCTGCTCTCCACTCACATCTCTTAACTCAAAACTCCCATATCTCCTGCCTCCCCCAACTCCCTTCACCAGAATCTCTCTACCATGTCTCCATATCCTTTGTCTTTCTCTTGCTGGTCTCCTTTTGCAATCTATCTTCTTCTCCCATGTCTCTCATTACCTAACCTTTTCTCACATGCACTGTTACTTCATCTCCCATGTCTCCCTCCTTTCTTTATTTCTTTCCTCTGTCTACCTGTGTCATGTCTCCCTCTCCCATATCTTACTCTTCCAAGTCTCCATATCCCCTGTCTTTTTCTCCTTGGTTTACATTTTTGATCTCTGACTCTCATCTCCCATCTCTCCTGTCTCACTCACACCCTCCTCCTGTCCCCTTGTCTGCCTGTCCATTCTTCACCCTGTTCTCACACCTCTCCCTGTCCTCTTACTCCCTCGCCCCAGGCTCCCCGACCTCTGTCTCCATCTCTCCTCTCTTTATCTTCTGTTTCCCTTTCCTTTGTCCCCTGCTTCTCTGTCTCTCTCCCATGTCTTTTTTTTTTTTCTCTTTGGTCTCCCTCTGTCATGTCTCTGTCTCAGCTGTCTTTCTCTCTCCTGTCTTCCCCTTCATGGTCTCATTCCCAGGCCCTCCTTCTTAGCTAAGATCTCTGTCCTCTCCCCTGTGTCCCTCTCCTCCACATCCCCCTATTCTTCCTCTCTCTCCCCTGTTGCCCTCAGCCCTGACTATCTCCCCTCTCCCTCCATGTCTGGTCTCCCTCTGTCATTTGTGACACTCATCCCCTACGGAGGATTAATAGCAAAAGATTTCTTCTCTAGCCCAAGTATATATGTGTTTCAAGAAACATATCTGTTGGAGATCTTTACTGTCACGTTTAACATTAACTCTCAGAGACCTAAACCCAAAACAAAGATGGCTCTCTTTCCTGCTGTGGTCTCTCCCAATTCATTAGCATTCCGGCTTCCTGGAGTTGTTGACCACCAATCAGATGCTCTGGCTAAGGTGGAACCGGTTCTGCAGGTTTTGCAGTGGAGGGCTGATCTTGCTTTGCAATCCCCAGTCTCTGCTGTCCCCCTCTGCCATGTC